GTGACGGCCAGAGCTGGGAATAGCCATGTAGTTTAGGAAATCATTGTACTTGTGAGGGCCGTAGCTTAGAATGCCCAAATGCACTAGGCAATCCCTTGTAATAAATCAGTGTGTACCATAGACAGATGGTTAGGGCTGCGAATAGGGTGAGACAATGGGTCGCTTGGGGTGCGACAGGAACCAAGGAGGCACACGGGGAACCAAGGGGACAAATGGGGACACCAAAGGGCACAACACGCTGACAAAGGGGTTATGTAAACCCCAAGTAATAATCATGTCAGCGGCCGCTCGGCTGGCCAGCCGACGGCCTATATAAACAGGGCACCCTAGTGCCCAAACTGTAATCCAAAATTGCCGCCACACTTCAGAGCCGTTTGCCGCTGCCTTGCCACCTCCCCCACGGATACTCGCAGCCGTCCACAAGCCCGACGCTCAGTACTTTCAGTCGCTGCCACACGTGACAAACAAATCGCCGAGCAATCTGCCGGAGGCAGTTTCGCCCCTTACAATCGTTTTGGGTTGATTGTCATGGTTGCAAGCTTCTTCATGCAAGGTTATGAGGAGTTCATAACACTGCAGTTGTTATGAATGGTGGCAGAGAGATGTGTTGAGATTGTTTCAAACAACGGCGCACGATCCCATATATGGCACATATGCCTCGTTGTATTTTACAAGGTGGGGGAAAAATTCATGATCATTGCACCACTGTCACATACATTGCCATCGAAAATGTATCCATTGCAACCTGATATCTATCAACAAACACACACACGGTGATCATGATGTGGCTGACTCAGACGGCATCTATTTCTCACACTCCCCTGGTGGAGGAATTTATCAATTCTCCAATGGTAGCTCGCAGCCGCAATCGGGAACAGCGCACGGAGTCCGCTACATTAAGGAAGAAAAAAGGAACAAAGGCTGCTCAGAAACAGGTGAGCATCGGTTGCTGCTTTCTTAACACTTGGTGTTCAAACTGCTGATTCGGACTAGAGGTGGCCACTCAAGATGCCATCCGCTCCGTTAAATCCGGTTCGTTAATTTTTATAAGCTGTTCGTTAAATTCCGTTACAGAAAAAGGGAGAAAAATTCAAAAAAAAACGAAAAAAATCCAAAAAAATCGAAAAAAAACCCAAAAAATCACAACAACTGCGGCTAGTTGAAAATCTAGTATGCATAGGTTGAAATAAAATAAAAACATACTCTCTAATAGCGAATTCCATAAACTATAAGTATGAAAACCTCTAAAAATCCGTTCCAAATCCGTTAATTGGTTAATTTTTGTCTTTTTCAGCGGTTTTCCCCGTTAATTAACGGATTAATTAACGGAATTAACCTCTGTCCGCTATTAACGGATCCGGGTGGCCACCTCTAATTCGGACACAAGCACTTGGCACAGAAAAAGCAAAAGCCACAAAAGCACGTTGCCTACATTATACCCTTTAACAATTGCGATGTGCTCATAGAAGATGCCCCAACTCATTTCGTCAATCATGGATCACCTGTGACCACAAAAAATTGCACTTTGTCTTGTATGTTGCGTAACGACATGCCATGAGCAACAAATAGACGTGACTCACATCCCCATATTTGATACCCACCCTGTCCACCATATGAATTGAATATTGCAAAGTTGTAAGCAACATTGCGTAGGATTAAATGGAAACGTCTTCAAGTATATATTTCAGCACATACTTAAGTCGCCAACCTCAATTGCACTTGTACGTGTTGGTAAAAACACAAACTCGTGGCATATTTACCAAAGAGAATAAACGCATTCTCAGGAGGGAGGTTTTAAAGCAAAATTCGGGAACTTCCAAATGGATTCACACTATCGAACTATGGTGCAAAGTGAAACTGAGAATCTATCTTTGTTCAACGCAAGGGCTCTGGCCCGGTAAAGAAGCCATTTTGATTTAGAGGACCCAAACTCTGAGGAAATTGCAGCAAGAACATAAATACCCATACTGAGCATCACCAAAAGCGTTGAATTATCTTGGAAAGGAGATTTCATATTTTCTCTTTTGGCCCATCTTTCTGCAAACTACCGAATAACATTCCATTGGAAGATACCTCTTTATCCAAGAACACTGCGGTCCACTTGATTCAATAGTGAATTGAACTTCAGCTTTGCCCGTTCCTTCTATGGCTTTAGGACACAAAGCAATCCGCTCAAACTGCAGAATCTGGCGCAACAGCAGCACAAGCTCCGACTAGAGATTCACAAAAGGTTGCAGGATCCGATGCGCCACCGTCAAACTTAGCTCGATTGGGGAGCATGATGGTCGATACGGGCACAGGGCTTCCATACGATGAAAAAATCAACGCCATGGAAGAGATCAAAAAATCCGTCGAGCTTCTGGTTTCGAATCACCATGCTCCTGCAACACATTCAGCGAAAGTGGAAAGCGGACTGCGGTGGACAACCTCCAGCGCCCGCATAAATAGCGCGGCAGCCACAGCCACAGCCACAGCCGCAGCCGAGTGAATTCACGGGCGAGCTGATTTCACCACCGTCCACTGTGGCACTGCCCACTTGCCAGCCATCGACATCGAATTTGAGATTGGAAGAATGCAGTTGTGTCCGCAGTAGTGCTGCTACAGTGGAGCCCAGGAATCAATGGGGTGAATGAACTGCTGCAAGTGGTCACCTCGTGGCCGGTGTACATTGGCACGACCGCATAGAAATCCAGTTCAAAGCTGGAGTGAACTCGATTCTGGATGCTTACCTGCTGAACACCGCCTCTGTGTGTGATATGCACAACTGCGTACTTGTAAGGGGGACCTTACAATTCAGAAGAGGCCTGTGTTGTTATATCCTGTAATGGGGCACGCCTGACTGTGGATATGGGTGTGGAAAGCGCAATGCTCATTCTCAGCATCACTGACATCCAGTTGCTGATGTATTATTCCATTAGCTGGCCTTCGCTGGCGAAGTTTTGGGTGAAGAAAAAGCCAGTGTTGTCTGTGGCAAGGAACATTTTGTCCATCAAAGTTTTGGAGGGAGTCCTGTTAATGTAACCAGCGCATTGCTGCAGAAAGCGACCAGGCATCCGCAACCGAAAGTCCAGCAATCCCTTTCTTCCATCCAAAGATGTGCCTTCCCACAAATTTCCCACAACATATTTACCAAGTTATGCTAAATGGTTGCTTTCGGGCAATGCAAATCTGATCTACAACACATGAATAAGTTAAAGAGTGTGGAGGGGGAAGGTTTCACGTGGAATCATGGTATGGTGGTGCAGAATTGGCCCGCGAGCCTGAAGCCTGAATGAGGGATGCGTCGCCTTAGCAGTTAGGGGACTCGGGCTGGTCTATCAAGATTCCTGGTTCTCATCCTGGACAGTTTACCCAGTGGGGCAGGCGGTTATTCGAGACGTCCGCGGCATATAGTGATGACAGATGTGTGGGGAGTTGAACAAATACTGGTGCATTCTTGTGGGTTCTGCAACACGTAGACCTGTGTGCATTTCTGCTCTGGTGAAGTGGGAACTTCGGCATTTTGGCCTAGCAACGTGAGGTCACTGTAGACCAAAAGGAACCAGATTTTGTTGTGCGATAGCAGAGACTTGTAGCCTGACCAGCTTGTGGTACTTTGACGTTTTGCAACCAATGGGTTACATTCATTCATTCATTGGTGGAGAACTTTAGTGCTCATTCTTCCATAAGAAGGTCGTGTTTCAGAATGGAGGAATTGTTTATGGAACGGCGGAATTCCAGGGTGGACCGCGATCGAGAAGCAGAGGCAGTCGCTCGAATCGAGATGTCCGTCAAAATCATATTACAATCATCCCTAGTCCATAAATATTGGCACATCCAACAAAGCATGAAAGAAAATCGTGTTTTGTTCCTCTTGCTCTACCACTACAGTCCGCCACTCTCCCTGTCAGCGACACAACAATGCTTGTCTGTCTATTCTTGCACAAACCCAATTCAGATCCATCATCCCCATAACCCAACCGCCTCCCAAACTCCCAGCATTTTGCAGCAGGTCTATCTTTCCGTGCACTAATATCCTGTTCCCAAACGCCTCCCAATTTAAGATTGCAGGAATGTTTCCAAGAGCGGTACTTTCAGCCCTCAATTCCACTTCCAAAGAAAGCCACGCCTGCAGATTGCAGCCTGAAGTCCGGCACAGCAGGCATACCAGCAACCGAGCCAAAACGTTGGTGCGCAGCCAGGCGAGAAGCAGAAGGTAAGACAGCACTGTAGCTATGCTGGAGTCCACGGTGAGCTCGGCAGGCTCACTCCATGCTTCTCGCTCCAACGCCGTTTCACCCGCATCCCTATGAAGACTCAGGAGGTGTACATTCTGACTTTGAAGCTGCTGCTCCCTGAAATGCACCGCAGGAAATGAACACAGGCTTAAGCATGCTGTGGGGCATCACTCTAACAGGCACTGCGCCGAAGGGATACACACACACACACACACACACACACGCGCGCGCACACACACAGACACACACATGCAGGCCCCCTGCCCTCAGCTCAACATTCCGGCCGTTGCACTGCATCATGCGAAGACCCACATTCCGGCCATTGCACTGCATCAAGCTAACTCAAGCTGTCCAGGCACAGCAAAGAGAAACTGCTGCCACTGCACTTTTTTCCACACACTGTGTGTCTCAGCCAAACAGCACTGGTTGCTGTTTACCAGGTCTCCCAGACCGCCAGGAAGAGCGCCCGCGGTACCCGAGGGTATCGCAGCTGTGGTGCTCTGCTTCCCGGCAGCGCTGGCGTCCATGGCAGGAGTGCGACCCGGAACTTGAAGGTCGAGTCCCAGCTTAGCCGCACTGAGCGAACAGACCCAAAAATCAACGACCGTGCCACGCATCCAGAGTTCACACACCAACAGGCGCTCGCACTCAACTCCTCAACAGCCGGTCCTCATGCTGGCACTCCTCGGGCACGCAGGCCTTACCTCACTTCAGGCAGATCAACCAACAACATCAATTCCCAGGGAATCCGGTCACAATCTCGGTGCACGCACTTTCTTATGCTCAGTAACCTCGCCGCAACAGCGCCGCCCCGCTCTCGCAGCCTGCCCACCTTTGCGCCAGCCAGTATTTCAGCGCCGAATTGTCCACTTCCAGCTGTTTCACCCGCTCCTCCAGACTCAACAGCTGCGCCTTCTTGCGCTGGCGCGACACCGCCGCAGTGTTGCGGTTCTTGGCCAGCCTGCGCTGGCGCCGCCTTTCCTCGGGATCCTCGATCTTCGACAGGTCCGGCTCCGGCTTCCTGCGCTTGCCCACCTGGGCGGGGGCCTGCTCGTTGGCCTCAGGATTTGAGGGCGGCGGTGCCGCGGGGGCAGCCGAGGATGCCAATCTCGTCGGCGTGGAAAACGGGTGGGGGTAGGGGTGCCCCTGGGTGTCCATGCCCTGGTACCCCGCCACGGGGCCCATCCCCGTCCGCACCGGCGCCCAGGCCTTTTGCTCGCCCGGTATTCCCGTCGTTATCCGGATGGATGGCTGGCACACGGGTCTCGCGGGCAGCCCGCTGGCCAGGCTGGAAGCGCTGGACGAAGAGGCGCGGCCCAAGGTGGACAGGGGCACGCCGCCCTGTGTGCCATCCCCCGTGCCGTTGCATGCGGACTCCCCCGCGCTGTCGGCCTCCACGTTGGACAGGGTGTCGTTGTTGACGGAGGAGCCGGCGCCTGGTGAGGTGGCGCACTCACCCTCGATGAAACCCTTGAGGGCTTCGTTGAGATCTGCGCTCGGGCAGGTGTCCTGCAAGAGCAGGGCCGCCAGCGAGTCCGGGAAGTCCGGGAACTCGAAGTCCTCGCCCTCGAAGGGCTCCAGCGTGGGTTTGTCGTCCGTGGCCATGTTTGTTCGCGTGCGCGCTCAGCGTTTTTGGTCGCTGTGGTCTGGGGTGCGCGCTGGGGGTATTTGTACGCGATCGCGCAAGGGGGAGTGACGGACGACGGGGCCATGTGAACGCGGGCATGAAGCGGGCAGCGGCTGGGCGCTTCCCGATGGCATCGATATGTTGCTTGCGACGTGTCCCTACCAATCAATAGTCGCCACGTGGGCGCATGGGTGCTGGTGCCCTTCCCCAGCCCTTCTATGATGCTCCGGAGCCTCTGGATGTGCCTTCAGCTTGATGCGACGGTACCTGCCTGCCAACTGGGCCAGATTACCCACAACTGGCGCAACCAACAGTGGAAGGGGCAAGCAGGCTGGGTCTCGCATGAAGAACTGGGCGCACGCTTGGGACGCGAACGCGCTCAAGTTCCTGGCAGCAAGGCGTTTGCGGTTGCCCCAAACACGGTGTTCTTGTGCGAAACGCCAGCAGAATGCAGTTCTTGGATGGACGCGGAGCCGCTCCCCCTCAAGAAGCGACAATGGTGAATGTAGAAAGCCGTTCTTGAGACCAGCAGGTGTGGAGTTTCGTCAGCAGACAGGGACTGTCCCCATGCAATCCGGTCCCCAACCTGTCTACTGGACGGGCAGTTTCAGAACTTGGCGACCTGAGGGTACAGCCGTAATGTTTGCCAACCCGTGCATGGATGGCGTTGGAACAAAGCATTTGCTCAAATTCAGTAGCCAACGCCACAGCGCCATTTTCTACAACAGGTTGCGCATGTCCCATGTCTGCGTTTGCAGATTATGATGCGTATCATGTCGTCGGTCACGTCCGCACGCTGCCATCCACTGCTCGAATCAGCTCCCCACCCTATCGTCAGCATCTTTTGCGCAAATGCACCACCATGGAAATGAATCAGCTTTGGACAAAGTGGAATCTTCGCTGCACAAACCTTCTAGAGGTGCTTTGTTGAGCCACAGGAATTGTCTTTTCGATCCGGGGGTCGGCATTCAGCCAATATGGACGGTTTCCACAACTTTACAAGCATCACGAAACCCCAGATGTAAAGGCGGCACAATCCAGAAGCCTTTTTGTGTACGTTCCACCAGTGGTGAGCCAGTTGCTCCGCAGTTGGGAATTTGAAGTGGGGCCATGCATGTGCGTGTGCTTCTGATTGTCCGGTGTTGCTGCTTGAGTGCAGCTGAGATAAACCAGCACCTTGGAATGGGGATATTGATAATTGGTTGACACTAGGAAAGCCACGTATACATATGAATGGACGTTTCTTCTCCCGTCTGTGTATTCTCCTTCCACCAATCACAGCGAGCACATACTCGAATTGATAGCGTACCCTTTGAGGGCCTTGAGCAGCTCAGTTTTCGACCACAATTATTTTCAGCAAGTCAAGCAATTGCCGCAAAAGACTCAACCCCAAGTGCAGCAGTTTTCGTGTTGCGAACAGCCCTGCCACAAGGGAGGATGCGATATGACCGACAACTGCACGTCTGCCAGGACGGCACCGTGCTCTGTTGAATGCGATGTAACATTTGCGCATGCAAGACAAGGCCCGAATCCCCAAAATCCCCCAAATCCGAAAATCCCAAATAGCGTTGTTCGATTACAGCTCAATCTATTCAATTTAATGGCCATCGCTGTAATCGAGTAAAAGATGGTGGGAAAGAGTACGGACATAGTCGGCCAGTTTTCCCTTGAAACGTACTAAGATGGCTGATTTTGATAGTCCTGTCACTGCTCCATACTCAAGCAAAAACATGTGCGCAGTCAGCTACATTCCAGTACGGTTAACTCAAAGCGGTCTAGGCTTAGATGTCCCCTATTCTGTGAATCTGTGATTGGGATAATCAGAGCCAGCCCAACCTGTGTAGTTTGGGTCATTTTAAGGCCAGTCGATGGGCAGCACGGTCAGCTACGGCTGCGCTGTCATTTTGCCAAGGAAAAGGGCAGTAACTAGTTTGGTTGGACCTAGGTTGACGGGATGCAATACAGTTTTGAGTCACTCATTTCCAGTACACAGAATTGAGGCTATAGGTACTTCAGACGGAAAGAAAGGGGCCGTAGTGTGTACAGGCCCGATGGAAAGCACCCTTGAAAAAAGGCTGGTCTGTTCGTAGGGAGCTCTTGGGTGACTTTCGCAGAGAAAGAAGGCCAAATTCTGGCCCCTTTTGAGGACGCCATGGACCGTAGGGGTTGTCATTCAACGGACCTGGACTTTTTCAAAAGGTCCTAAGACCTTTACAGGACAGGTACTGACAGGACGTAAGGGTTCAGTGAGTCGTGATGGGACATGGTGTGCGGCTGCTGACAATACTTTGTTGCTTACCAACTGTATGGGAAACTGCCCTTTGGTAATTTTTGTATTGTACTGCGTCGTACACGTTCGTCACATCCCCGCATCCTGAGCCTACAAGGCCTCCGCGCCCCACGACCTGCGACTGGTCCGAACGGAGCGACGCTGCCGTTTCACCGCGGAAAGCACTGAAAGATGGGCTGATGGCGCGGGTCGAGAGGAGCAGGCTGCCGGATTGGGTCCCGGCGCGTCGCGACGCGGACGGGGAGTTTGGCGAGGGGGCGATGGCAGGGCCCAGCCACATCCCCACTCGATGGATGGCGCCCATCCCGCGACAAGGCGAGGTGCATCCAGACCTGGCCGCACGAGGAACGCGCGAGCTGGGCAGGCCCTCGTCCCGAGTGAGGCAGCCTTTCTCGTCAAGCAGGGCTGCGAGGCGGGGGCCGGTGGAGCTTTGGCATGGGGCGCCATCCGCGGCTCCGGCCTCCCTAACCGATGGATCTTCGGGGCCGTGGACTCGACCGCGGCTTGGCGAGCGGCGGACGAGGGGGAGGGAACGTTCGCGTTCACTCTACGCTGTGGGGACGGAAACGAGGCGGAGTGCTGGCAGCTGTCCAGTGGCGTCTTTGCCGCCTGCGATTTGACTATCGAGTGGATTGGAAGGAAGTTTCTGGTGAACGACCAGTGCGCGACGATGGCAAAGCTGCGTGGAGTCTTTTGAAGTGCTGGCGGCTTACTGAACGAAGTTTCAGGAGCTGTGAAAGGCGGCGAAGGGAGTCGCCTCGTTGACCGGTGCTGAATTACCGCTGCTAGGCGGAGCATTAAGCAGCTGAGAGAAATTCAGTGCTGGGGTTGCGCCTCGCTTCGGCAGCGCTCGGCAATACCCCTGGAGTCCTATTGGGTTTGAATTTGCGTATTGTGGTAACTTCCATCGTCCTGTAAACTCCTAGGAGCTGAGTTGTTGAAGGTGCAAGAGTGGAACGCTCAGAACTCCTGGGCGATTGACAGGGTTGTGATAGTGGCTGTGTCCTTAGTGACTCTCATTGAGCGCATATGCCTGAACGTTGAGTCATATTGCTGTTCCTAAGTGTAGACACCCTCCTGGCGATGCTTGTCAGCTGTTTATAACATCATGGCACTCGAACAGTACTTAGTTCCCTCTCCAACCACAGCTAACCGAAACTCACGCCATCAGGGTGGGCCGGGCGGTTGAGAAACATGATTTACCCAGTGGAGATCATTGTACCTTGCCAATATTTCTTTTTGCTGGTGAAGACCTTGAGACTCCGATGTCCATCTCCTGGCCACGCACCCTGCACTCACTGTTAATATCTTCTCCTTTTAGCTCCTGTTGGAGATACTCAGCACGCTGAGATGCGTTGGCCTCCACCATGCGCTGGAGTGCTTCAATACACCAAAATAGCCTGCTGCGTGGGTTGGACCGAGTACGACAACATGACGGACGCATGATGGGAAATGGTGGGCACACCTTGATTTAGGGTGGTTGCCTGCTCTACGCTGTGGTGGCATTATCACGCCACGTCGCGGCTGGGTATCTCTCTGTAACTTCGATGCCTCCAGCTCGTTCTCAGGCCGCCACCTCTGGACAGCTTCACTATCGGCGAAATAGCCAGCGACCTAGTAAGTCCATGTTTCCAGTGCTCCCAACTTACAAGTTGGGAGTCCTAATTAGGACTGCACAATGGCGAATTTAGGGTGCTCAAGGTCAACTTGAAGCTGAGCCCTCCGAATCGTGCTCCGAAGTACTTCGTGTGTCCAGAATTAAACGAAACCGTTGGTTTGGATACCACGCTTGCATCTTGCACCCACTATTCCCAATGGAAATCTGGCTTGAGCACCAGATATGAGCTTTTGAGCTGCCCTCAAATGTCTTCATAAATGCACAGCTGGGAAAGTCGATTAATCACACACTCTACACGCCGCACCCCACCCAAAATGAAAGGGCCCCCGCCCAGGTCGCTATGCGCATGACGTTGCAGAGCAAAGAATCGATATATGTGGTTGTCATCCTGACTGTTGTTTAGCGGTGTCCCTCCAGAACTAGGAAGGTCATGGAACCGAGTTTCTTGTAGCCGGTGCAGCGATCGGGACTGTGTTTTAATGGACCAGCAAGCCTTTCATTTGCGAATCAAAACCCAGAAATGGATGTGGTGGCTATGGGTGTTAAGATCACCACAAAAGACTTGGCAGGGTATGACTGCCATCTGTCGAAAGGGAGCCAAAAGATCGCTGGGAATGGCTGTGCATTTTGCGCGTCATTCACGTGAATTCGAATGCAATTGCCATGAGGGATTCCCGACGGCTCCCATGCAAGACGCATGAATACCCAGAGTACGGTCACTTGGGTCTCCGATTCTGCATCCACACCTTCCAGTGGTGCCTTTGGCACCATTGATATTATTTTGGGCTTTGAGCGCAGGTGTTTACACACTATGCAGGACAGCAATTGAAGATCCGTGATGAACAAAGAGCCTTTGACAAAAGCAACTATTCCACACCTAGTCTTGAGACACCAGGAGCGTCATTGGCAACAACAGATCCCAGGCACGTCAGCGTGTCACCGTGGACAACAGCTAGGATTGCCGTAGTCACCAGAGGCGAGATTCAGACCCAGGCCTCAATTCTCCCGATTGTGCACTGCGATGGGTGTCGAGCGTTGGGCCAGAGCCTGAACGATGTTGACAACATCCTTCTGGCACGAGTCCACGGGAAGTGGACCCACTCGTGTTTGCGGCCTTTCCGGTTCTGGGACGCCACTTTCGTTTAGATCAACGATACACTTGAAAGGTGCATATTCTAGGCAGCTGTGACGAAATCTTAGTTGACAACTCTGTTCAAAATATTGAATATGCGTCATATATATGCGTCTTCGTTTTGTACGTTTTTGGGCGCTCTGAACAAACGCAAGGCAGATGCTCTGGTTCATTCCCCAAGCAAGAGGAACTGCCTACTACAAATGCAACACTCAAACTAACAGTTTCATTAAATTCCGGAAGAGAAGATGTGCGCAACTGCCACAGGATCGACATAAGCCAAGAGGCAGGGCCAAACTGTTGATCAGGAGCAAAAAGCCATCACATGTTTGACAATTCCCTCAATTCGTTAGGCCTGCATAGAAGCCGCCAACATATCTCTAAGCATTGGCAACTTCCATTGCCTGCAATCGCTTCACACATCTCATTTTTCAATCCTCTATAGTCGCTCTTTCCACACTTCGCAATCGAAGATGGCCACACAAAACACAAACAATGTGCAGCACGAAACCTTCCTGCATGTACCAAACATGCACTCAGGGGATCGGTATGAGCGTAAACGAATATTCTTAACGCCAGACATCATGCAAGGTGTCAAAGGACCTGCCCACGATACCTTCAACCTAACCACACTGCATATGTTGATGTCAATAAGCACTCCGTTTGCCCACCAGATGCAGAACTCAACGTGCATGCAGGGCAGTCCTTTGAATAAAACCAATAGCCGTTCCTGGGACACAGTAGTCATCCACATAAGTAATCGCACGCTCTGCCGTCGAAGCAAAACGATATCAGTTGGGCAGCATTTCGCAATGGCAACGTCCCTTCCGGTTTCAAAATGGTGATAGCAGCAAATGGCAGCAGATATGCAGAAAGCTTGGGGAGAGCTGTCACATCACCCCTGCCCTGTCGTATCAGGAAGGTGCTGTCATATCATCGTTTCCTTTTGTTGGGACAGACCCTTTTGCCCGAGAACTGTCAAAAAAAGAGAATCCAGGCATCCTTGATGTACTGGCCATACATAGAACTTAAGACATTACCATCTACACATCCAGACACAACAGCACAAGTGATATCATTCGTTGTCGCAAAAGTAGCACTTCCAATCCAAATGGCAATAAAACAAGGTAGAGAAAGAGTGTCAATATTTCTCACCTTAGGATCACTGCAGCAAATCTGACCTGACCTGTCCTCGTCTCGAAGGCGCCCATGGATCCTCGAGCACACTGAACTGCTCTTTGTTGCATCCACACACAGGCTACTGGCCTAAGGGGTGTTAACCACCAAAAAAAAAAAAAAAAAAAAAAAACGCCAGGGACATATTGATGAGCTCATCATCAACATTGGCCATGGTGGTGCACAGCTGGTGCTATGGATGCTACTGCGATGGGTGAGATGCTTACCATGCGAAGAACCACAGCACCACACGATGTCTCCCTCACGGTGCCAAACAGAATGGGGTTCCACCATCCACTGCCTGTTGTGTGCCTGCTCACAGTACATGGAATGTTGCTGGCTTCAAACACAATTGCAGCCTGACAGCCAGGGCAGAGTGCTGTGCCCACAGCCTCTGCGTGGAGGAGATCATTTCCACCAGTACTGATCCTGTTGTCAAGATCGAATGTGATGCCCAAACTTGCTATTCCTTGCATCTCCCCTTGGCGTACTATCCACACCTCTCCAAACTCAGCAACAACAGATAAATTCGTCCAAAAACTTCTGTCTTCACTGCTCCATAAAACTCTGTGACCAGCTTGCAAGTGTCTTCTGGCGCAGTGGTCCCACCACTGCACTACGTCTGAACTGCCTGGACGTTTAGTTTCTTCACCTTACATGCTATTTTTATCAGTTTGGACAGCACAGCAATGCGAAATTTCCCCATCATCATCTTCTATTCATTGGCTGGGTGCATCAACTCATGCGGAATCACAGCACCACCCTTTTCTCCCCTCACCCGTTCCCACTGCCTACACACCCCAGCTGGTGCAGGTCAGACATCCCAAACTCTGAGAGCTATGTGGCCTGCATGCTATGCCACCATGCAAAAGACAGTCAATCGCCCATGAAGGCATCAATCATGCACTTCCTTGGCTAATTCACTTGGACCCCTCTCACCTACACACGCTCGGCTCCTCACATCCTAAAGTGCCACCACTGCCTGGCGGGTGGTGCTGCCCAAGGGGGAGGGTGGAGTTCAAAGCCATGAGAACTCAAACCACACACACATACACACAAATACAGTACACTGAAAACACAACGACACACGTAACACACATGTAGTGACACAACCTTTGTAAAACCAAATGCATTTGGCCTGACAGGGACCCAGTCTTGAAATGTGCCTTTCCCAATCGCTACCTTCCGCCACTGATCCAATGTTGGCCCAAATCAAGGCTGGTGAACTGAGCGAGTGAGTGCCGCTCTTTGGTGAAAGCACACCATGAACTCAGGAGGGAGAATGCTGCTTCTTGCCCAGGATCATGTCATCGGTACGCCAATCAACTCGGGGTCCACCCAGACCCCAAGTCAACGGAAGCTGGGTAAAAGCTTCTCTACTGCTTCTTGGCAAAGATGATGACAGCTGCAAAATAGGACTCCTGGTCAATCTACTGCAGAATTCTGTCATCAACATGGGATAATGAGCCACTGTCAATTTTCCTACCACCACTTCCCTCCCAAACAAAGACAATCTCCCATTTGGTGTTCAGCAGACGATGTGTGGCAAGCACAATGCCACTGCTGGATTCATAGGCTGACCCATTCGGTCAGTCATCTTATTAAGTTTTCACACATTGGGAAGATCATCTAATCTGAAAGTGACATCTCATGCCTGGAAAGTGAACAGTCCTATCATGCACAGATATCAGGCCCTTGTGATCCTATGTCTGATCCACTCCAGCAGAGCAACTGCTGAAAGCTGCACAGAGCTCCATGAAAGGAGTGCTTGCCATTGCAGGGACTTTGCATGTCCCCATGCTATTCCTGTGGTTCAGCAGACTGCTGGCTCATGGCACAGGCGCCCCATGGTGCACAGTGTCCGATTATGACTTTGACCCAGCCATAGAAACAACACCCACTCTTCAATGGTTTTGACTATCAGACATGCATGGCAATCCAGCCACAGACAATGCCTTGCGCCTGATATCAAAATACACCCTTCCTGCACGGCACAGTTGATGCCTGACTCCCTCAAACATCGACTCAGTGTGATTTTTGGTTCAAGTGTCAAATTCGCTTGATGTCATAATGAACTACTGCAACACGAATCAATGAGACCAACATATCTTGCCACCACTAAACTTCCCACATGCGGTCTCCACCAAGCACCATGCCCCATGATGGATGTGACAGCTTTGAAGCTTCCAAAGCGTTTTTGTAGTGATACAAGCAGCCCACTACTTTTCCCTTGGTGTCCTCCAATTCCATTCCGCCACTGAGACATTCCATCCACAGGGGACAGTGTGCTTTAAACAATACTCAATTACCTGCAAACGACCCACGTTGAATGTGGTGAGTCTCTCAACAAATCATTCAGAACAAACTGATTACCACTGTGCCATGAGAGATGCTTCTACATGCTAAGGGAATGGTGCTCCTTCCAGCGTCATTGATATTGCAGTCACATGAAATAGACCCTTTCAGCCTTGCTCAACGCTCTAAGCTTGTCCCACTTTGGTAACTTCGCTCAACCTTAGCTGCCCTTTTGCAAAAGCTTTCCTACCAGCCCTGAGAAAGCTCCTCAGACAGAAAATCCATTTGGTCAAGCAGACACAAACATTAACCCCTTGAAGGGGTGATAGGAGACAGTGTGACCCCGTGAACAGAGGCACACATTCACACAAACATACACACACGTTCTGGGGAAATCAATGGCGCAAATTGGGAACTCCCTTCTGAGCAGTTCGCACCCACAGGCGCAACAGGAAGACCCAGGAGCCCAACCAAACTAAACAAGGCCCGCCATCACACGTCTGAACTCGGCCTTCTGGTGGGAATCTGATCCTCCCACCCCTTGCCATCCCCATTACCGCTATCACGAAGGCTGACTGTCAGGAATCCACCACCATCCAATTGATTCGAGCCCGGCGACCCTTGCTGGGTTGCGGAACACCGCCCCGTCACAGACATTCGCAGCCACCCCAACCCCCCTCCTGTAGCTCCTGTCGCTGCCATCACAGCAGAGGAAGCGCAAAATTGATCATTGCGGGGGCATGGAAGAAGCGTTGGGGTGTCGCGCCGCGAGGCCCCGACGGCACGGGTCAGTCTCGTAGGAGGGTTGGGGGCGCCATATGGCAACGAAGACATTTCGACATCCACGCATCAACTTGTTGGTGAAGCCCCCTACAGCGCAAGCAGCGTCGTCGTCGATAGGAGGCCCTCCTCTAATTGATCCCCACCAGGACCGCGCCCCCCCTTATGGCAGAGTATTGCGATCGAAAACCAGGACAAAAAGTGACGGGGCTTCTCCGGGAAACAGAAACGAGTTTTTCAAGCCAACTGACATCGATGGCCTGATGCAGACAAACGAGTTCCAGCGAATCCAAACGGCGCTTGGATTGGCCCCCTACCCCTCGATCCGGGCGTGGGCGACCCGACAGCAGAGTTTCAATGACTGAAGCGTCTTCATGCGAGGAGAAGCTCACCTTGGCGCCCGTAAATCCCAACAAGGCAAACAACAAGGACAGCTGTGCACCACCACAGCCAATGCAAGCCACCAAAAGGAGTGCGCAACCAGGGGGCAATGGGCCAGGCCCCCCCGACAGTACACGCCCAAGTACACGGCCACCGGATCCATCGATGCCGCTCATCGCCTCACGGCGGCTGCTGCCGATGCAACGAGGCCCGGCACTTCCAGCCCGCTCATCCGGCGTCCTGTGTCGCGGATATTGTCGGACACTAGTCGCCGCCCGTGACAGGGATCCGGGCACCTTGAGTCCCGGCATGGCTTCGTGGACAAAGTTATGCCGTCCAGCACGTGCCTGGGGCGGGCAGGCAGGTACACAATCTGCGGGTCTGCCCACGCGTCGCAAGGCGGTCGGTTCGAGTGGCTCTCAGGGGCAGCTGGACTGAGCAAGAGCAGCCGCATCGCGAGGTGTAGCAGGCGGTGCTGGCCTGCGCTTTACCACTCGGAACCAGCGGGCCCACTGGTGTTGGTGCCAGTGTACATACAGTTCCAGGACTGCACACGTCACCGGGTTGTGAAGCGGGTGCTCCACCTTCACAGTCTCCGAAAAAAGCACATTGAGTCGCTGGGTTCGGGGTAGGACTGCGTCGGAGGCCTGCATGGCCAGGGGGTTGGGGACACAACTGGGGAACAGAGTTACAGAGAGATCCCTGACAGGCATGTCCCTTATACTCAAACAACCATCATCATTGATAGGATAACCAAGGGCTCCGGTGCGCTCACACACGGTCGCTCCCAGGCACGAGAAGCGAGGCCGCAACCAGATGCATTATAGGATGATTATACCAGCTAAATACCAATCACTGCAATAGCCTCCACTTCCGTCTCCATTATCTCCATATACATTCGCGATAACACCACACTCACCATATTTACTTCCTACCGTAAAAACACCATATATCACACATTATATATTAATAAATCGCTCGCCCTCACACGCTTCCCTGTGCCAAACACATACCCCAAAAAAACTCACCACTTTTCAAAATGCATCCCGATACGGCCGTAACATATCCATGTGCCTAACCCATACTTTCCCCTCCGGACCCCACATTTCCCAGACAACATTTGTTATGGGGCGAATCAATTGTCCCGGACCCTTCCACTATGGCGCGAGCTTGTCCTTGAGTGTTTCAACTTTCGTGTTCCATAACCACACCCGGTCTCCTGCCCTGAACGTCCATTGGATTTGCCATCCCCTCGTCCTATAGTTTGCCTTTTTGCACTGTTGGTGCGTGTACTTGTGCAACCGCCTCTACGCGGCCCATGGACTGTTCCACAACTGGTTCGGCGACCCAAACACAAAAGAGTTGGGCATCTTCTTGCTCTCTTCTAGTGAAGAGAGGGGCATGTTATTGTAGACCTCCACCGCCCGCTCTACCGCCTTGGCAAAATGTTTGGGTTCCTCTGCCCACATGCACCTCAAACGGTTCAAAGTGTTTGATTGAACTGCTCTACAAATCCAATGGATGGGTGATGGTAAGGGGGAGAGTACTCTTGCATCACTCTCTCCTGTGCACACCACCTCTCCAACTCCTTGGATTATGTGGCCTTGCAAACATCAGAACACAAGGTTGATAGTGTCCCTTGTGTTTGTGTCTATTTCTTTAGCCCGTGCATAATGTCGGCCCCTGTTGCCCCTGTCACTATCTATGCTCCCACTCATTTGGTCAACATGCCCACAACGACAAGAACAAACCATTTCTTTCCCATAAAATCCAGGCCAATAACCTAACCCGGCCTCTCTGGCACATTCCAACTGCCGAACGGATTTGATGGTTGCAGTCAATGGAACAATTGGCACTCCCTGCATTATCGCACCCTATCCGTTACCCACTGCCACATCGGATGCAGACCCATTTGGCGAAAGTGATGATACATCTTCCCCACTCCAAAATGCTCTGCATGGGCCTACTCCCATTGTGCCTGAGAAATAACCAAGGAGCGTTGTCCTTCCATTGCGCGAAC